CAAGTGAGATCTGAGTGTACTGGCGACGTGTCTAGTTGAGAGCAAACCACGTACCTGGCTGTGTGTCTAGGTGTGCGTTTGTGTCACCTGCAGTGTTGACATGTTCTCGTTTGACGACTCTGCTTGTCGTGCTCTGCGTGTCATTGCGAACACGCGTGTTGCACATGTTGCACTGTGCGTTCAAGAGTTGACCCTCAAGCTTTCCAATTGGTCAGCCAACGGTTGAGGGCCACCTCGGCTTGTTTGTCTCAGAATTTTGCCCCGCCCTCCTGCCGCAAAGAGGGTTGTGGGTTATTTTTATGTGCCAGGGGGTTTGTGTGTTTGTCCCCAGCGCTGAGTGTCACTGCAGCTTCACATGCAAAGCATGTTCCTTTTGGATCTGCCCGACTCTATCGGCCTCGTGGCTGGAAAAGAAAGTCCGACGCGAGCGAGAGTTCCAGTCTGTGCATGGCTAGCTGCGCTAAGTTGCATGGCCTTTGCTTGCAGGTGTTCTACACGCGGGTGTTGCAATAAACTGAGTGTCATGCTGCAGCAACCGTGCTCTCAGGGCCAGTGTGTCGTGGGGGCAAAAGTGTAGGGTTGCTTTGTGAGATTTGTTCCAAGTTGTGGTAGTGGGAGTGCGACCGCAGCCCATTTTCGACTTTCTCACCCTCCACAACCCTCGAAAATAGGGCAGGGGGGGTTCTAGTGCGACTTGACCTGGCCAGTGTGCCCGGTTGTCGAGGGGGACTGCGTGCGCCTCCCTGGGTTGTCGTACTGGTTTGTCTAGAATGATTGTGATCTAGACGTTCGTCCACCTTTGTGCAAAACAGGTAAAAGAGTCTCGGCGGGCAGGGTGGGCTAGCGGGTGGGATGCAAGGGGGCTAAGGGGGCCTGTTGGCTCTTGGTGTGCACTGGATTTGCGTGTGCCCCCCCTGCTTGGAGTGGTCTTCCGTCTCAGACATGTTGCGCGTGCTGAAGCAGTGGTCCATAAACGTTCTCGAATTTGCGCGCGCGTTTGTGCTTCGCTTCAAGATGCGCAGTGTGGTGTTGCTGTCTCCTTGCCTTTGCTTGCTTTTCTCGTGCAGCCCATCTGCAGCATGGTGCGGCCAAGCCGAACTGTCGCGGTTGCCAGGCTTCCTTTGCTTTTGAGTTAGAAGGCCTGCGGTTGCGCCCGGCAGTGAGGACAAGTTCCCTGGACTAAAGCTCGAACTGGATCCGCCTGCGCAAGTGACATCTCAGGCTTCTGCGTCTTCATCCTCGGTTTGCTTGCCAGTAGCACGTGGTCACGTGCTTGATTATGTTTTGAGGTGAGCTCTTTGATCAGCACGCGCGAGGCAGGCTCCATGTTGCCTTGTGCTGATCCTTACTTTCCCACCCTCCACAACCCTTGAAAATAGGGCAGGGGGGGTTCTAGTGCGACTTGACTGGCCAGTGTGCCCGATTGTCGAGGGGGACGCGTGTGCCTCCCTCGGTTGTCATACTTCGTCCACCTTTCTGCAGAACAGGCAAAAGAGTCCCGGCGGGCAGGGTGGGTTTTGAAGGTTTGTCTCAGTGCAGGGAAGATCTCCAAAACACGGCGTAGCCAGATTGCTACAATCTAGTTAGCAAGATCGCGCCTGCCGTCCGGCTATTGCCAGTTAACTATTAAGCAAAAAGAGCGAACCGCAAACTTTTGTTCCACCTGAGCATGGAGGGCGGGTAAATCGTCTGGACGGCAGGTTCAAGACGAGCGCCGGGAGCAGGTTTGTTGAGCGCTTGCAGCGTCCAAGAAAACGCAGTCGTGCAGATTGCTGTTTTGCAGCTGCAGTGAAGGATGGCTTGCTGCGGTTGCAGATGATCATGCGCACCGAACTTGGTAGGCTTTCTACGTGTGAGATGCGCGGTGTGATGTTTGTGTCAGTCTGTGCTGCAGGCGCTATGGCCTCCAAGGTAAGCGAGCAGGCTGCAAAATAGTGATGAGCAGCGGCGCGTGTTACTTTCCAAGGTTGGTGCCGTGATCGCTCGTGTTCTTTCTACGATGGATGACCCGTCAGCGATGTCGCGGTGCTTGATGAGTCGATCCTATCATGTTTATTTGCTGTCCATGCTTTGGCAGAGAGTCGCGTGAGGCCGGTGTCGTTCCTCGCCCTGCCGAGTTTGCTTGGCAACGATGGCACCAAGGGCAGCAAACGGACTGTGAGGGTGAAACTTGTCGGACAAGAACCGCGTGTTCCCAAAAGTTTTGCGGCGCGTCCCTTCTTCTTTCTTGTGCTGTTCTGACGCGTGCGCTCGAAATTCAGTGTACTGGTGCCAAGGCCGAGCTGGCAACCTTGGAAGCAGCTCGTGACAGCAACTGGGTGCGTAGCTTGTTCGGAGTCATGCTGCGTGACGTTCCTTTGCTTCGGAGGAAGCAGATATGAAATCGGTAGCTTGGATGCACATATCTCCAACACTATTGGGGAGGTTTCGCTTTTCTGGTCCAGGTGGAAGCTCGCCTGCGAACTTTGGGCGACTTCGTTGCGCGTGAATTGGAGTCCGAGTTGAGAGCTCAGATGTTTCGTATCACAGCTGTCCGCCGTGCTGGCCGTGCTGGTGGTAAAGCAGCAGCCTTCCTGGCAAGACGCACGGAAACACCAAGTCAGGTTCATGTCTTCTGTTTCCTGGATTCGCTGTTGCCTTCTGAGACCCTTGACGCAAGCGTCTTGCAGGTGAATATCGAGATGGGACAGCAGCCTTACCCAACCATGTCTTCACTGGTGAAGGAGCGTTATTCATGCGCCGCGAGACACCAGCGTCTCCAGAAACTCGCTGGTAAAGCGTCTTTGCGCGCTGCAATGACGTGGGTAGTGACTGTGGTGTTTGGCTGGTTTTGCCTGCTTCTGAAGCGCTTGAATCATCCCAGTCTTCGCTTCCAGAAGGTTGCTGTCGCCCTCCCCTCCCACCTACGTGCGCTCGAGGTAAAGCTGCGTGTCACGCGTCCTTCGCGAACACAGTGAGATCAGGGCTCTGGGAATCCGGGTTTCGCGCTGCGGGCAGGCTAGGATGAAAGAATTAGATAGAGGGTTCGCCTTTGACTGGCCCGCGTCAGCTAAAGTGTCCGAGGCGCGCCAGTGCGCGATAGTTTCTGCGAGAGAGCTCTGGTTACGAGAGCGCGCGATAGCGCGCGAGAGGGTAGGTGTTGGTTTGAGCTTCTTCCCGCGATAGTCCGCGTCAGTGCAACCCCCAAAAAGCACGTGCGCGTCAGCGCGCGAAGAGGTCTGCAAAAGGCCGCGCGAGAGCCCGCGAGGGCACATAGTCAAATGAAAAGTTCAAAGGGTTTTCGCCGCTGCTCATGTGTGGAAACATGTATGCTGCTCTGTTTGTGTGCTCAACCCAAAATGTGAGACTCTGTGTCCACTGGGCCGCCCCTGAGATCAGGGACATCCAACGCACTATGAGGGAACCCCTCATGAACCGAGTATAGCCCCCCCTTCATGCCCATGGAGTGAGTGCACAGAACGCAGCATAGAAAGTATAAGAGCATGATGTAAGCTGTCGCGTGGCGGCAGGACATGCAGATGCGAAGAGATTTGCGCGAGGATGTCAACCGTGAGGTCATTCTGGACAGTGAGCTGGACTTCCTGGAAGGTGCAAACAAGATTGCAACAGCAGCACTGAGTGCGGCTGCGGCCCGTGTCAGATCTTTGTACAAATGAGTGTGGGCCGAAATATGCGGCCCGCGTCAGTTCTTTGCGCAAATGAGTGTGGGCCGAAGTCTCCAGCCCGTGGCCTGTGACCAAGATCATATCGCCTGTTTCATCCTGTTGGGGCTTGCACGGCCCTTCAATAGCGAGTCAGCAGCTGTTTTAGTTTGACCCACCCTCGCCCCAGATGTTGCTGCCGAGTCATGCAGGCTCATGCAGGTTCTTTCTTTGTGTGTAGCCCAGAAATTTCGAGCCCTACCACTCCGCCCGAATCAAATTTGTGAGGTGGCAGGTAGTCTCGCGCGTCCGACTTTTAGTGGTCGGTGCGAATGAAGACGACCTACCGCCGCCTGCCGAGTGTCCTTTCAATCCTTTCTCAAGCCCAGCTTTGCGAGCGTGTTGCAAACGCATGGTACGTGTAAATCACGTGTTTTTGCGTGGACTGAGCTTCCATAGTACAATAGCTGAGGGTCTCCGAGGCTCTTGCGACCGTTGCGGATACGTGTGCCACGATAATGCACCGCGCGTCCGTGCGCGTCGCGTAGTTGGTCCCTCGAGTCGTAGGTCCTAATCGCGAGATCAAAGGCTTCATGTCAAGGAGCCTGCTGCACAGCGCTGATGCACCGCGGATTCGCCTTCGAGTCGTGACAGGGTATGCCTGCGTACAGCGTCAGCTTGCGCATGCACCATACACTCACAACTGCAGCCGTTTTCATTGCAGAAATTGCTGCAGTAGTCGCATATTTCTGCGCCCTTTTTCTTGTCGTTGGTGCGCTTCTTTGCTGTCTTCTTTTTGTTGCAGTGCCGTGGACATTCCATGTTCACAGAGCTGGCCGCCCTTTGCCAGGGAGTGGTGTGGCCAACCCTCAAAACACATGCTCTCGTGCTTTTTTGCAAACTGGTGGCTTAGCAAATCCTTCCGCGCGTGTTTCACGCGCAGAAGTTCCGATCTGGCGCAATACTGAACGTCAGCTGTGTTCTGTTGAACTTGGGGAACCGGCTCCGAAAGTGGCGCGAGTTGCGAGAGTCGCTTCTAGTTTGGAGGGCGCTGGCGCCTGTGATTTGGGTGGAGCAACTTCACTTCGCCGAATTGAGGATGCTGACAGGGTGAAATTTTGCAAAGCCTGGGCCATTGTCGCTCGAGGGTGTTTGCAGTGGAGTTCCTTTGGTCTTTCGGACATCAAGGAGATCCATCTAGAGCGGCTGTTTGAAGACAGGGCTGCGTCCACACTTCGGAAACATCTTAGTGGATGGCGCCGGTGGATTGAGTTTTGTTTCCCACTGGGTTGGTCAGTGGGAGCTCCTAATCTTGCTCAGGTTCTCGACTTCCTCGAAGCTCTGGCCAGTGGTGCTTGTATGGACCGCGGCAAAGGTCGAGTAAGCAAAGGGATGGGTGTTTTGTCGGCGATGCGTTTTGTTGCGTGGAAGCTTGAGTTGAAGTGTTTGCGGCAATCGCTTGATTGCTCGTTGGTTCGGGTTTGGTCATCCCGGGACAAGTGGCAGAAAGGCCACACGCGTGAAGCCATCCCGCTTTCCCTTCAGATGGTCAAGAATCTGGAGAAAGCTTGCTCTTCTGCCGCAGAGGATGACCTATGGCTAATTTTATGTTTTCTTCTCATGATCTTTGGTAGTTTGCGTTGGAGTGATGCTCAACGGATTGACCTGGCATCTGTGGTGTGTGACAAAGACTGCTTGTATGGATGGTCGTGGCGCTGCAAACAGGATGCTGGAGGAATGCCCTGGGGAGTTGTTTGCGAAGGTGTCTGTGGTAGCAACTGGGGGCATGCGTTCTTTCATGAGCTTTCGCGTTTGCGATCTTCATCTCCATCCAGGGATTTCTTGATTGGTAGATCTGGAAGTCCTATTGGCTATTCAACTGCTCTTGCTCACTTCAGGCGGTGTTTGGTCAAGTATTGCGGTCTCACCCTGGCTGCGGCTGCCGAGTATACTATGCACTCCATGAAATGTACATTCTTGACCTGGGCTCAGCAGGTTGGAGTGGGTTCTCGCGATTGCAGTGCCTACTGCTTGTGCCGAAGTTGTGAAGGAGTCCTTTGAGTCAGCTTCTTTGCTGGCTGGTTCTCTTGAATCTTCGGCTGTTGATGTGGGGCATTTGAAGAGTAGTAATTCATCTTTGTCAGCTTGCTGTCCACAAACGAATGCTTGTGTGAACCTGCGCTCGCGGATCCCTATTGTTGATGGTGGGGGCTGCCTGTCTACAGCTGATTGGAGTGTACCCCGCGAAAGGGAGGATCACTTTTCTGCCTTGCGAAAAAGGTTTGGCCATTTAGCCTCCGAGTGGGGTCTTCTGAAAAGGCTGAGCGCTCATGTTGAGAATCGCTGCGAAGAGTCTCTGTTCACCCCAGATGAGGTCGAGGTGTTGCGCAGTGAGGTTTTGTCATTTCTTTCCAGCAAGGGTTTTGCCTGCGACGACAGCATTGTGGACAACCAGCCCTTTCTGTTAAGTGTTTGGCAAGCGCTGTGTACCTTGACGTCTGATCAGGATGTCGAACTTCCTAGACTTCTGCTGGAAGGCGTTTCCACTGGGATTGTGCAACCAATCCCTCCTTCAGGTGTATGGGAAGAGGTCGCGGAACCTGTCGCCGTTGAGCAGGATTTGCGGGTGCATCTGGAGCCGTGGCGCAGTGCTTCCGATAATTTGGCTTTGGCAAAAAAGCTTGTCATGGATGATGTTGCCGCCGGCCACGCGTTTGTTCTTCCTGGAGGGGAAGCAGAAGCTCGTGCGAGATGGGGAGATCGTATTGCTGCTGGCAAATTTGGTGTAGTTCAGGTGCCTGGCAAGAACCCGCGACTTATTGGGGACGGGTCCGTCAGTGGTGCCAACGCGGCTAGCCAAGTCCTTGAGAAGGTACGAAATCCTTCGTTGCACGCCGTGCAACGATTCTTGTCTTGCGTTGACCGTGCTATGAGCTGGTGCCTCTGCAGTTTTGACGTGAAGGGAGCGCACAAGTTGGTGCTTGCGAGAGAGTATGAGCAGGGGTACTCTTGTTTTGTGCTGGATGGTGTTTGGTATTGTTATCGGAGTTGCTACTTTGGATGTTAAGTGGGCTGCGTATTGGTTCAGTCGTGTTGGTGCTTGGTTGGTGAGGATGCTTCATCGCGTCATTTGGGTGAAGCACGGGTTATTTTTGTTTGTGGATGATGGGCTGGAGTTTTTGCCTACTGCCGTGGCACCACTTCTGGCGCTTCATTCTCTAATGTTTCTTTGTGGGATTGGCGTGCCTCTGAGCTGGGGCAAGTTGCGCTTTGGTCAGTGCTTGGTGTGGATTGGCTCGCAGTGCAGGAGTGCCCGCAGTGCACGTAGTGACATGTTACGAGCGCTTGCACCTTTGCGAGTTTGGTTCGAAGCTCGTCGTAGAGAGCTCGTAGCAGATGCAAACTCTTTGCAAGTTTGTCGGAAAGCTTTCCCCCGCGCTCATGGTGCGAAACGCTTCGGTGGCTGATGCTGTCGACTCCACTCTGGCGCCTGGCTGCACTTGGGGCGGCGACGTCCCAGCCGACATGTTGCTGCGCTTGGTCACGGGCACGAGCTGAACGGAAGTGAAGGATAGCCCGCAATGAAGAGGACGTTATGTGGGGAAGCAAGATTGGCAAGCGTGACAAGTGATTTCGTTTGCGTGCGTGTGATTTTTTGTCCCGTCTCTGTTGTTTAGTGGCGTGGCTTGCTTGTTGGGGTTGATTGCTGATGTGTGCAATGCGCTTTGCAAATGCTTGTTTGACCCAATGCTTGCAGGTCATGTTACTTCTCTGAGGCGCGTGGTAGCGTCCAGAAGTAGGTCGTCGAGTCGCCGGTGTTGAAAGAGAGCCATGGAATATCCAGACAGCTTCGCGGGCCTTGCCGAAGCGCTTGTTGATTCAGGTGTGGATCCCGAGATGCTGATGTGGCTGGAGTCCCTCGATGTAGACAACATTAGTGCAGCGGCACACGCGCTTGAAGCCGGTCGACTGCCGCCCGAGCTGTCTGGTTCAGTGCAAGCGTTGCTAACATTTGCCTTGGGACCCGATGTGGTCAAGCGTGGTGAAAAGAGCATGAGCGAGGCGCCGCCCGCAAAGTTGAGAAGAACCGATCTTCCTGTAGCCAAGCCAACTGCAGCAGGCTCTTTGGCCAAGGCGTTAGAGTCGGCAAGGCCCTCAGCGCGAGAGGCTACGCTCGCTAGCTTCAAGCGTGATGTGTGGGCGCCCAGCAACCAGAAACCGCAGGCCTCTCGGTGGCGGACTTGGTCAAAGGTGTGTGACGCCTGGGGAATTCCGGCTTTGCCGCTATCGCGGGACGGAATCGAAAAGGTGGCGGCCTCCTTCAAGGCAGGAGGGTATAGATCAGCGCGCCAGTACTTTGCCAGGGCTCGCAGAGAGCATGTGCTTCAGATGAAAGCAGAAGTGCCGCCAGATGTGCTGCTGTGCATGAGAGATGCTCTTCGTTCTCTTGAGCGTGGAATAGGTGGTCCTGCGCTTAAGGACGCATTCCGTTTTGAAGAGGTGGTGCTGCCCAGCCCCTTCGAGGAAATTCCGAGTACCCGTCGACAGGCCGTGTGCATGTTAGTGCTGGGATGCTGGTTCCTGCTTAGAGAGATCGAGATCGCAGCGTTGCAGAGCAAGCACTTGACTGTTGATTGCGAGCGCATGGAGGTGACCCTCACACTAGCAGCAAGTAAGTGTGACCAGCAAGGCAACCTTGTTTTGCGAAAACATGGATGTTATTGCGACCACGTTCCTGCAAGAATGTGCCCGTACCACAATGCTGTGGCTTTCGAGAAGATTCGCCCGAAGAATTTGGAAGCTCCGCTTTTTCTCAGCTCTCGCGGTCATGAGTTGTCTAAACATGAGACCATCCAGTTGATCCGCAGAACACTGTCGGCGTCGCCATTTGCTATGAAGCGTGCAGGTGCTCAGGGCCAGGCGATGCTTGAGCGTTTCAATGGCCACGTCCTTCGAGTTTCGGGTGCACAGTTTTTGGCCAGACGCCTCGTGCCTCTGCCTACCATCATGTTGTTGGGGCGGTGGGGCAGCCGCAGTGTCGAGAGATACGTGCAGGAGGCAGCCCTGGAGACATTCTCCTTGGATCAGATCTTTGACCCCTCGGTGCATGTCGCCGAGCCAGCGAAGAAGAAGCGGGATCAGTTGAACTGCGAGGCTGTTGGAGACTCTCTGGCAGCTCTGACTGAGAAGCTCGAAATCTTGGCAGCTCGCGTGGAAGCATTGCAAGAGAGGCCGCCGCTCGTGGTGGGCAAGAAAGCCCATGCGCGAGACCCTCATGAACTCGACAAGCTGCCAGTCACATGGAGGACAAGGTGTGGCCTGTGGCAGTATGGTTGTGCTGCGTTCACGAGAGCGAGCGAAGCCCCTGTGGCCACACGCTGTCGCCGCTGCTTTCCAGAATGTGCCGAGGATGGTGAGATTGACAGCAACCGAGAAGAGTCAGGCTCCAACACTTCGTCAGACTCGAGCTCGTCAGACTCAGAGACAGACTGAGATAGTGCGAATAACTTGTACATTGTGTTGAGATGTATTGCGCCGCACGCGCGCTTGCGCCGCACGTGCGCCAGCGCCGCACGAGCGCTGTGGGGAATGAGAACTTATTTGTATCTTATTGCGCCGCACGTGCGCAGCGAGTGTGCGGATTGGGGACAGCAGAAAGGGTGTCGTGAAGTGCTGCTTCCAGCCGAGCACGATCATGGTCATGGTGTGGACAGGAACCAGTGGTTGTTGTAGCTCCGGATACCTTGATTTGCTTTACATTTTGCCAGCGCTTTGCTTGAAGGATCCGTTTCTGTAGCGTTGTGCCCCAGCAGTGTTTCCGTTCCGCTGAATTTTGTGTAAAGTCACAGGCGATGGCGGTCGTGCATGCGTCCTTCCAACAAGCGATGGAGCAAGCGGGCATCCCTAGTGACATCCAGAAGTACATTGTCAGCCGCGACATTACATCAGTTGAGGTGATGGCGTCCATAGCCTTCAAGGTGGAGGAGGTGGACGAAATTTTGGCAAAGCCGCTCGAGTCGGAGTTTGAGCTCCCAGGTGGGGAAAAGATTCTGCTGTCAAAGCTTGAGTTCCCCATTGCGAAGGCCAAGCTTCGATACTTGTGGCGCAAATGCTTCAAGGATTGCAGCCTTGGCGAAGCACCAACGGCGCCGACACTGCCGGCATCCACACCAGCGGCTTCGGTGACTAAGTCTTCGTCCAAAGAGCTTCCCAGTGGTTACTGGCAGCAGCAAGTCGCAAAGTTTGAAGCTGTCAAGATCGGAGACGAGACCCGAAAGTTTCCGCAAGAGAAGCTGATCGGTGCAGAGACAGTAGTTGCTCGCGTGGTGCACGAGATGCGCGCAGAGAGTCACACAGCTATTGGGCTTCACGAGGTGGTCCAGGCTCGTTACTTTGAATCGTCCGGGAACCCCAACCCCCTATGCGTTGCGAAGAAGAAGCAGAAGGCCCAGGGTGCGATTTTGACCCTCAACTCTGACTATCAGATTGAGACCGAAGCAGATGCCCCGTGGCACCCGAAAAGCGTGCTCTCGTTCGTGGACTGCTTGGACTCCATTCGTGTCCTGATGATCTTTGTTGAAATGGGTAGCGAGTCGGCTGTCTCGAAGTACATTGATTGGTTTGAGAAGCAAGTGCGGTCAAGGACAAGCAAACTGGAGCAGTTGAGGTTGTACTGGGAAGCATGTGCGTGGCGGATTGCTCTTGCTTTGAGGTCCAAGAGAACTTTCAAGTCGATCACGGAAGAGATCATCCTGGACAACCAAGCGCTCCAGGACGCTGTCTCCAGGGACGTCGTGATCTTAGACCGTGCTGGGCGTCAACGATTCCGCTATGACCAGCAGGACGTCGACCGCAACGGCAAAGGGAAAGGCAAGACTAAGACGAAGACTCGCGGTGGCAAGGGTTATTGGGACGATCGCCGATGGGAGCGACGGAATGATAGCTGGCGGCCGGGCCCCTACGCCTCCAACTACCAGACCCCATCGTGGTCTTCGTGGCACGGTTCCTCGTGGTCATCCTGGCAGCAGAAGAGCCACCAGTACGGGCAGGAGGACAAGAACTCGCAAAGGGAGTAGGGACAGCGCGGGCCGTTCGACAAAGATGTTGAATCGGACGGACCCGACACCGATGCCAGCTTATCAACAGTCAGATTAGTTCCGGCTGTCGATGTGCAGCCGACCGGGCATGGGCACAAGCGGAAGCAAGAGGATCCGCGAGGACCCCTCCCTCGAAAATTCCGCAGTTGCATGCCACGCGAGACTGAGTCCGTCGACGCAATACTGTTGAGCTTTTTCGATGGCATTGGCACGGCTGCGTTGGTTTTCCAGCAGATCCTTGAGGAGAAATCCTGGAAGGGGCACATGATATTGTGGGAGTCTGACGAGGACCTAGCAGCGTTGACAAAGGAGCACTTTCCGAAGGCAGATCACAGGGGTGATGTTGACAACGAGCGTGTTGCGGATCTGATTGAGCGCTTGGACGCTATCGACCCGGGACGCAAGGCTACTGTCATCATCGCGGGCGGTCCTCCCTGCCATGATTATAGTAGGATTCGTTCTTCCGCTCCAGGTGCTCAGGGTTTGGAAGGCTCGAAATTCGTTCGCTTTGCCGAGCTGGTCAAAGAGCTGGAGAGGAGTTGGGGAAGGCCCCAAGCAGTGTTGATCGTTGAAAATGTCCTCCCGCAGAACAAGGCCGACATCAGGGCATTCGAGAAGGCTTTGGCCGCGCAGGCAGTGATGCACGACTCTAGCGACTTCGGGATCATTTCGCGACCAAGAGTGTGGTGGACACGCGTTCCGTGGCAGCAAGTCAGTCATCGCTCTGATTGCCCTGCCAAACTGCGTTGGTCAACGCACCAGGGAGTTCCTCGCGTCACCTTTGCAGTCCATCCGGACAAGATTGATGATTTCGACTTGGGGGGCCTGAAGTGGCCTAGCGTCTTGCTGGACCGCGTTGGTGTGTTGCCTTGTTTGACAACGCCGTCCGAGAGCCCAGAAGGTCGGCCTGCGCCGCGAAGCAGCAAAGGCAAGGTC